ATATGGGTTTTTGGGGTCGCTGATTACAAATCCGGTGTCAGTTTTCCAAAATTCAAAATGGCGGATCCAATATGGCGGACGACATTTTAAAAATGTAATGCAATTCGCTTGAAAATGGGTACTCGGGGGTTTTCGGCCTCGCTGATTACATATCTGAGGTCAGCTTCTCAAAATTAAAAATGTCGGATTCAATATGATTGTCGAATTCTTAAGAATCAGGCCTTTTCGCTTAAAACTTTTTTTGTTTTTTTCTGTTGTCACTGGTAACGAATAGAACGTTAGACTTTAAAAGTTGAAAATGTTAGATGTGGCAATCTTTAAAAACCAATCCCTTATGCTTGAAACATTTTACTCGGGAGTAACAGACCCAATGTCAGTAAAATTTTAGAAATTTCTCACGCTCCTCAGCCATTAAAATATTAACAATATTCGTAATGTTGCCCGACTCTTACCGCGTGGAGGTAATCGTGAATTGGAGAGTCTCTTTTTTTAATATTTTTTTTTGTGATTTTAATATTTTTTATTATTTTTGTGATTTTCAATGTTTTTAATGTTTTTGTGATTTTAAATATTTTTTAATGTTTTTGTGATGTTTAATATTTTTCAATGTTTTTTAGTATTCTATGTTTTTCTTCTTGTAAAAAATTAACTTCTTATTTATTTTGAAAATTTTCAAAACACTTTTGGCAAAAAGAAGCATTGCAGGTTGGGCAGTAAAAAAACGTTTTTGTGTTACATGCATCGTTAGAGCAACATTTTCTTTTTTGTGACTTTTCGGCTTTGTGACTTTGCATTTCACCAGTTTTTGATTTTGCCAAATAATATCTGGCAATACTCATTGCAAATTCTTTAGATGCTTTCTTTTTTCCATCCTTTTCAACAGCATTTGAAAGAATTACAGCATTAGTAACAGACGATTGAATTAATCGCATTAGCACTGGCCAAGTCCATTTTTTGCTTCTAAATGAATAAAAAATAATATATGAAGGATAGAATATAGCAAACAAACATTGTAAAAATTAATTGAATTTGCTTGAAACTTCATACTTGGTGGTTTCTGAGGTCGCTGATTAAGAATCTTAAGTTACATTTTAAAAATTCAAAATGACAGGTCCAAAATGGCGATCAATTTCCTGAAATTCCAGTCATTTTGCAAAAAGGCTTAATTTTTAAGAATCAGACAAACATTTTGGATTCGCTATTTTTAATTTTGAAAATCTAAACTCAGAATCGTTATCAGCGTAGCCAGAACACCTGAAGTGAAAAATTTGAAGTAAATCTAATAAGTTTTTGTAAAATTCATCCACCATATTGAATCCGACATTCTTAATTTTGAGAAGCTGACCTCAGATATGTAATCAGCGACCCCAAAAACCCTCGAATAACAAGTTTCAAGAAAATATAGTGAAATTATAAAAAAGTTTCCGCCATATTGAATCCGCCATTTTGAATTTTGAAAACTGACACCGGATTCGTAATCAGCGACCCGAAAAACCCCCGAGTACCATAAATTAATTTTATATACATATAAACAGTAATAAATAATATATTATAGGTAGGCGTTAATATAAAAAGTAAATTATTATTCTTATAACAACTATTTAATCATATGTTAAATTTAAAAGATTTAATATGTTTCAGAAAATTTTGTGAATTTGAATTAAGTGATTATTTACTTTAACCAATTATTAACTATTATAATAAATTAACTGTATTCATACCGATTTATTTTTGTATTTAAAACAAATAACATTTTCTTCTATCAAGTAACATTAACTTAATAGAATAATTTCATTTTAAAATTTAAATGTAAAAATAAAAATAATTTTTGTCGAAATGTAATATTTTTTCTGAAATTTAAAACTATTTATTTTTAAATACAGTAAAATGAAAATTTCGTAAAATCAGAAATAAATAACGCTATTTTTATTAAAGGCCACCTATACATATATTTTTAAAACGCCTACCTAATATATTATTTATTACTGTTTATATGTATATAAAATTAATTTATGAAAAATACATGTTTAAAAAAGAAAATTCATTATTAACAATAAATTAAAACAAATGTTCTTTTAACCAATAATAATTAATTCCATTAAAAAAATTTATCAATTAATACTTGATTAAATGTCAAATTTAATTGAATTAAATATTCACAAAATTTTCTGAAACATATTTAATCTATGAAATTTAACATATGATTTAATAGTTATTATAAGAATAATAATAATAATTTATTTATTATATTAAAGATGATTTAAAGCGAGAAGCATTTAACTGAGAAACACTCACTTCCCCTACGCGCAGAGTCAATGGAGGGGGCACGTCGCGTCGTGTCGGATCTCCAAAAGATTTAAGTCTGGAACGCGTATAAAGCGCGTTCCACACTTAAACTTTTCGGGCGTCCGACACGACACACGTGCCCCCTCTTCAATACTAACTTCTCCTACGTCAGGAGGGGAATGCATTTGGTAGATGGAGAAGAGGGGGCACGTGTGTCGTGTCGGACGCCCGAAAAGTTTAAGTGTGGAACGCGCTTAATTGTTAAATACGTACGGAAATATCTGTTGTCTCTTTTACTCCAATGGTACACGACAGAAATATACTCGGGATTGGTGAGGTATACAAGCGCCTTTATTTATCGCCACAGCAGCAAATGATTATTAGGTTTAACTAAAATTATTGCAAAGAAATTATACCCAGATTTTTTTATGTGAGACTTTTAAATTATTTCAGCAAATATTGATTGTTACAATATTTGTGTTGTAATATCTATTTGTATTAGTAAATTTCATTTTCTGGCTTGTGGAAAATAATTACTACTGTTCAAGAACATATTTTAGTGCATTCAAAAAAAAGTCAAACCGGTACCAACATTTGAGTTGATTTTATACCTCCAAAGAATGCTGTAACCTGATTAATGCAATTTAATTAATTTAATTTAATTAATTTTATCATTATTCTTTTATTTATAATTTATTTCATTTTCATCAGGGTGGAATCTGTCCGGTGCCACACCATCGCTTAACTTTATATGCTCACTTTGTATTCTTATATATCATAAGCAGGCATAGGTCAGGTGACGTGGTGTCGACTTTACACCCTTAGGGTCCGAAGTTTAGTTCCTCGTGTCTTCAGATTTTCCACTAATTTTTTTATAATTCTCTGTTACAGCATTCTCTTTACTGTTTCTAATTATCATTAATTGATTTAAAATTAATAATAATAACATTTTTTAGTATGGATATTCGTGTTATTGTCAGTTATGATTCATTCATTCCGTTTGTCTACACTTGTATAGTTAGTCGTTTTTGCGTTTCTTTATTGTTTTTCTAAAATTTTGACTATTCTCTATTTCGTAATGTTTTATGCTTAACGCGACGGATATTTTTATTTATTGTCATTAATTAAGTGATATAGTAAGTAATAGTTTTAAGTAATAGTTGAAGATGTACTAAACTTGAAAATATTTTAGAAGAACGAAAGTTGGAAGTAAGAAGTGAAAAAGAAGTAGAAATTTTTTCTTTACATTTTTATCATTGTTGTATTTGTATAAATTTATTCTATTTATTTTTTAGCAACGTAAACGAGGTTACGAAAATAAAAATGATCATTTCCTACACAATAATGCTTCAATTATGTCATTTTTATTGACAATTTTCTTTTAACCGAGTATTAGAAATTTTATTTTTTAGAAAAGAAAATGACAAAATAAAGTGTGTCACTCAATGTTTGTCGATTTTGTTAAACCGTATGTTTGTCATAGTGTACATTGTTTTTGTTTTCACATACGTAATTTTTTAAACACATTGTTGATTGTTTTTTAGTCATTGTCTATTGATTTTGTGTAATCGTATGCCAAAGTGCAAATTTTCTTTTTTTTCAAATGTTTAAATTTTCATTATAGTTTAAAATTTTCAAATTAAAAAAATGAGAAAATATTTTTTTTTTGCTCTTATACTTTGGCAATTCTTTGGCAAGAATTTGCAATGTTATATGTTGTTAAAATAAAGTAGGATGGGAAACACTCATAAGCAATGGTTTGCTATCTTTTTCCAATATTTGAATGCTTGGCGAAAATCTTTCCCCATCTTTTGCTAGTTTTTTCCCAATGTACGATTTTCACGCAGATTTGTTTTGAATAAAGAAGAAACAAGCATTTTGGATAACCTTTAGAATATGATGCTGAGCTAATCATATCAATTGGATTACTAAGTTTTCTTAAATCTGTAGGATCTTTTACGTAGATCGCGATTACGAACACAGTCGATGTAAGAGGATATTTAATGCTTTGAAATTTTTTAGAATTTTTCAGTTCCTTTTCATTGGCATTTTGAAGATTCACTTGCAGAACAGGTGTGATTTCTATCAAGACTGATATCTTTACCTTTTTTCGTAGTTTGGATTTGTGTAAATTTATTCTATTTTTTTTGCAAAGTAAATGAGGTTACGAAAATTATATTGAATTATGTCATTTCTATTGACTATATTTTTGTAACAGAAAGTTAGAAATTTTATTTTTTAGAATAGAAAATTACAAAAAAAGTGTTTCAGTCAAGGTCTATCGATTTTTCTAAACTGCATGCATAAGTAACAGAATAAATTGTTTTTCTTTTACATATTTTAATTTATAAACACATTATTGATTGTTACTTAGTCAAGGTCTATCGATTTTGAGTAATCCTATGTCAAAGTGCAAATTTTCTTTTTTTCCATTATTTTAATTTCCATTACAGTCCAAAAAGTGCCTAAGCCTCAGTAAAAAAAGGTTGTAATTTCTTCTTGTTATTTAAATGTCGTTATTGATGATTTTCCCCCCTAATTTTATTTAATTTATATTTCTTATTACATTGATTGTTATTATAAAAATATCTTGTACCTTAAATTGATCTCAAATTAATTTGTATTGTGTCATCATCTTTATTAAAATTAAAATCTCGCATAACATAATTTAGAAGATGACCAATGCTTTGATAAATTAAATAGAACAACATACATTATTGTTTCAAGAAATGTTTATTTTTTTTCCAAGAATTCATAATATATTAGAATATTTAACAAAATATTTGAGGAAAAATGACTTCTTAAGATCCTGTTAGGCAAAGAAAGAAAAACATAAGTATATTTCGTTCATGAGACTTCATAAATTTTCGCAGATTTTAGTTGGAACTATTATTATAGGATTGCCATCCAGGAATATTTTTAACTTCACTTACACACACTTCTTTCTGTAAATGGAAAAAGCAAGAGATTATTAATAAACTAGAATAAATTAATGAAGAAAAAATTATATTGTAATTGAATTGCGTATATTACACTTTTCAATTAGAAATGTCCAACTTGGAAAGATTCCCCGGAAAGTGCCACCGGGAGGTTCTATCAGAATTCCGTCGGAATTCCAAAGAATTTCCGGTAGGATTCCGACGGAATTTCGATTAATTTTTTTCAAAATTTGTAGAGTCCTAATTCCGTCGGAACTCCGACGGAATCCCATAGGAAATTCATTGGAACTCCGATGGAATTCAGACGGAATTACGTTGGAAGTTCCGGCGGAATTCTGATAGAACCTCCAGGGGGCACTTTCTGGGGAATCTTTCCAAGTGGGGCACCAAAAAAGCTATTCCTCGTTTTAATAGGTAAAAGAAGGTATAGATTTAAATATTTTTAATTCTCGAAGCTGTTTTTTATAAACTCAAAAAAGTGCATTTTGTAAGTTTTGAATCTTACTAATCTTGATAATTAATTTTTTAAAATAATTCAGACTGAATACAAAGTAGAAAAATTTCTTACTCATATCGCAACTGTTGCTGCAGCATTGTCTATGTTTTTTGCAGCTTTGCCCTTCCTTTCGGCAAGTTTCAGCAATGACTCCTGTCATCATCAAAGTACTCAAAAGAGCAAAAAGTACCAACAATAATGTAAGTTTCATTTTTCAACTGATAACAATAAACATCACTTCCATGGTTTATATAGCGTAAAACTGAGTAACAATTAAAATGTTTACTAGAATAAGGAAAAGCCGTTTTCCTCATTTACAAAACAAATTATTTAATAAATATTAATTTAAAAAAAATAAAAGTGCAATGTGTCTCGATGCAATCTTTATAATAACGAACTCTAATATTTGACAACGAATAAATATTAGCACTGTTAACCATTATCATATTCTACATATAAGCAGCTTTAATTATAGTCATAATATTTTAGCAAATATTGTTTCCAAAATGGAAAACATATTTTTTTTTACTTTGGAAATTGAAAAATTGATTTAGAATTATTATTTTTTATACCTTCTACTAAACTTTATGGATTTTCATTTATCACCAGGGCATTTTATTCGGTTTTTCATGTTCAAGGGCTAAAAAGTTTTTTTCGAAAAGCAATTAACTCTTTTTTCAAATTTAACCCTTATTTTTCATTTTTAACTCCTTTCCCTCCCTTAAAAAATTTTTGTGTTATTTTATTTAAAAGCTTAAGACTTTTACAACGAAACAGTATAAATGTAAAAATAGGACAACATTAGTTTTGCGAGAAAATTTGCTTTTGATAGCTAAATTGTCCCCTCACAGCACCAGATATCCTAGGATATTCCAAAAACATCCCTTGGATATCCTAGGGATACCCCAGGGATATCCTAACGATACTTTAAAGATATCCAAAGTAGCGGCGGTTAAGATATCCTAGGGATATCCCAGGGATATCCTAATCATTTCCCCGGATATTATTAGGATATCCTGTGGATATCCCTGGAATAATTAGGGATGTCCTTAGGACGTCCTAAGGATATCCACAGTATGTCTATATTATCTTAAGGGTTAGAATATCCTTGAGTCTTTCTAAAAATGTCCCTAAGGTATCTATTAAACGACACTAACATACAAATTAATTAAATAAAAATGGAAAACATTTTTTTTGGATGTAATTATAATGTATTTCCAAGATATCTAAAATGTACTTTCGGTGCGTGTGTTAGAACAAAAATTTTTCATTTGGTCAGTCCCATAAAAAACGAATTTAAAGTGTCGAAAATCGCATTTTTGGCTTAAATATATGCTCTAATTATCAACTTTAACGCCCAGATTTGAAGGATGATTGACAACCACGGGAAACCTATTTGTATCCAAAAATCGCTATCTTAAATAGTCAAAATTTGAATCATAATGATATCCTAGGGAGATCTTAGCGATATTTCTAGAATATTTTAACGATATACCAAGTTTATCCCAAAAATTTCCCCACGATATCACTAGGATATCCCTGGAATATCCCAAGGATATCCCTAGAATATCCTCAGGATATCCTTTTGTTGTGAGGGTCTATTACTTTAATTTCGTGAAATAAAAATAACTGAATGTATTGAAATGAAAAAAAAATTTAATGAATTTCCAAAAAATAATAATTCTTTCTATTTATACAAGGAAGAATAATATTGAAATTGTGCAAGAAGTATGTGATGCTATAAAATGAAATTAAAAAACAAAACATTTGTGGATTATCGACGATACATTGATGAAAAATTTTTGAATTCTTATTCTATGTTCAAATTTTGGCAATACAGTCAGTTCGCCCGTTTTCGACCTTCAAAAACGTTATCGTTTAAAGCGGACTCTCAAGTTGGCTATTTTATAATAAAAAAAAAATTTTTTAATATATTTTTTTGTACCTTTCGGGATACATGAGGGAATTTGCAATACAGAAGTTATATGAACTTATTAAATCGCGGTATGTTAAAATACTTTAAAATCAAAATGAAAAGTATCTTAAAGCAAATATTAAAATTTATGTATAATATAAAAGATAATTAATATTTTGTAAAATTAAATAATACAAGAAGCATTAATGCAAGAATAAAGTCTTTATTTTCATTACAATGCATAAGATTACAACATTTAATAAAAAAATTCAATACAGAGTTTATTTTTTAGCATCTTTGTAGGCAATAATAATAAAATATAAGCTGTTGAAGATATGAACATTAATAAGTGATGTAGAGTTAAATTATTTGAAACTTGCAACGATCCATATACCATTAAAATCTTATTGTTAGAATACTTTCATCTGTAGGAGCCATTATTTGCACACGCCTCTTTCTGTAAATAAAAAATAATTAATTTATTTTATTTCTAGATTAATATCAATTTAAGAACGAACTTTTATTCTCGAAATTAAGGAACACATGCAAACATGCACCACATGTAATCTAACCGAAATGCAATTTAGTAACTTTTAATGTTAACAATAAAGACACTAAATTTTAACTAGAGCAGGGTGCGGTAGTTGACGAGAATTATCACAAACGGTCGCTTTATGACTCCAGCAGTACTTGACAATATCGGGACATTTCGTGTGACACGAGTATTTTCGATGAAAAGTAAACAAAACAATTTTCCTAAATATATACCGGCGAAGTTCAAAAAGTGAAGGAATAAGTTCGATTAAAATCAAAAAGTGACAAAATTGATCATAATCATCGTTAAGCAGCAATTTTATAATTAGAAAATTTTTGTATATTTGCACCTTAATGCATATGCATTAGAAAATTTTGTAGGTCAGAAAATATTTTTTCTTTTATTTCTTTTTAATTCAATGAATGTAATTTAATTGTGCTGTCAAAATATCAAATTATAAAACTTGATAGAATTATTAATTATTAGCCTTTAATCATGTCATCAGTCTAAATAAAAAAATATTCATTTTATATTTGTATGTTACTTCTAAATGTACTTTTTTCTAAAAACTAATTTTTACAAATATAGAAAATATATTACTTATGTACTATTTTTATATAGTATAATTTTATCTTTTTTTTATATGTAAAGTTAAGTCAGTTAAAAAACAATTCTGTTAATTGAAAATTTGGTTATTTGACATGTCGCTTTAATTATAATTCCGTCAAATGACAATTCCGTTGACTGAAAGTTCGGTTAAGTAACTTGTCCGTTAGACGACAATTATTTTACATGCCAAATCAGTCAAATTACAATTTGATAAATTGGGCTTTCAGATAATTGCATTTCGGTTAAGTGACATGTGATTTAACATTCATGCATTCCAAAATTAAAAATAAAAAAAATTAATAAATTAAAAAAAGAGGAAATAGGTTTTTCAGGTTTTGAATTTTTGTACAATAACAACTACGAATGGCAGTAATGAATAACAAAAATATAGATGTCTATTATTAAAAAAAAATTGTAAAATAAATGAAGGGCTAATTGAATTAATTAAAATCGATTTAGAAATGATATAGTATTGTTATACAGTAAATAAAATGTTCTTACTTTGATTGCAATTATTGCTACAGCATTGTCTGTTTCGGCTGCAACTCTGTCCTTCTTTTCGGCAAGAATCGGCAACGACTCCTGTCATCATGAAAGTGCCCAAAAGAGCTAAAACTGCTAACAATGTAAGTTTCATTTTTCAACTGATACCAATTGTCTTTGAGACTTTGGTTTATATACAGTGAAATTGAGACGAAAATACATTAAAAATTGAGGGGGAGGAAAATTCTTTATGCTTCGCATCTGCAATAATAGACGTCAAAAAAGCTGTGTTTATTTTATAATAAAATTAATTCATCTGTTGCGAGAAAAACATTAGGACAGTTGAGCAGAGATGTACTTTAGATATGAGATGAAATCATATAGACATCATACAAGAGCCATTTGATCTTAGACACCGACCCTTGACAATAATATCCCTACTGAAAAACGCCACATGGGATTCCACATGAAAACCTATTTTGGATTCCATAAAAATTCCCAAATACATGCACACCGAAATTTCGGACAGAATTTGGTGAAAAAAATCATGTGAAATCTATTGCGGGTTTCATGTACAATCCCATGTAAAATTTCATCATGTTATCCCATATAGTATCCAATTAGATATCCCACATGAAATTTTTCATTTTATTCAAAAAAAAAATTTTATTATTAAAAATTCTCAAAATTTTCAACATTCTCTATAGAATACTATATGGAATCCCAAATTTCATCCTAATTTTCGGTGCCATTACTTTAAGAATTTCATTAATTTTTCGAAAATAAAAAGGAAATAATTTTAGATTTATTATTTTTGAAGATTTTAGTCGTTTTTTAGTCATCGAAAAAGGAAAGGTATCACAATTCCCTACAGTTGTGTATTTACAGTTTATAAAAATTTTTATTGAATACAATTTCTAAATTATGTTATGTGTTCTGCACTATGTAATTCTTTTTGGAAATTGAAAAAAGTAATTAAAATTACTAGGGACGTCATCCCTAGTGTAGGTCTATTTACACCTATAGGTGGTATGTGTGAGTGATATTTGTCAGGTATTCTCGACTTTTGAGATATTTAGGGAGTTCGTTAGTTTCATAATTGTAACATAAAATTTTCTTAAACAAAGGTATAGGTAGGAAACTTTTTTTTATGTCAACATTTCTAGTTATAAGATTTTTGTATGATCTATCTATGACTCTATTTTCTTGTTCTATTGTAAGAAATGTTCATTTACATTTGTTTCGAAAAATACCTTTTTTTCTATAAAACTATATAAATGGGCTAAAATTTATATTTAACAATTTTTTTTCAGGAATACCATTGTAGTAAGAAAATATTTTTTTTATTCTTACATTTTCAATTATTATTATAAAAATGTGTCATTCACTGTTTTCATACAAGGTATTTTTAAGATATTATTTTAAACTCTTATCAAAGTGTTGTATAATTTTAAACTTATCAATGCAAATCTTTTATAAACATACGATGAAATTGTACATTTTTAAAAATGCATCTAATACCATTTAATTGATCGAGCAAAATACTAAAAAAAACTTTTATGCTGACTATTTTGTTTATTTATATTATTGTACAATTGTTATAAGCAATTACAATCAATTTATACCTACTACAGTTAAATGCGACAGTAAAACAGATAATAAAGGATTAACTGTTTAGGATCCACCACGAGGTTAATGAAAATGAAATAATACATACTAGATAATTGATTCTGGAAATATTTATTTTTAGGAGAACATAGTTTATTATTATATTAAATAAAAAATTCTCAAAAGAAATTTTATTTTTAATATGTTGTGAGGTACTAAAAATCAAATTTACGCAGATTTTGATGATACTCATTCATAGCTTATATGTAGAGTTTATTAATTTTCATCTCCTGATGCTATTTACTTGCACACGCTTCTTTCTATTAATGTAAAAAAGAAGACATTATTAATAAATTATAATACCTATATTAATAAATGGAGAATTAGGTTGTAATTGATTTGCATACGCTACACATTTCTTAATTTGAAATACTCTAAAAAAACCGTCTTTTCTGGTAAGTAAAAATTAAAATAGATGTAGTTTTAAATATTTTTAAGTCTCGCAGCTGTTTTTTTCAAATTCATGAATATGTAAAATACATTTTTAAAAATTTTGAATCTTGTAAATCTTGATAATTAATTTTTTAAAATAATTCAGACTGAATACAAAGTAGAAAAATTTCTTACTCATATCGCAACTGTTGCTGCAGCATTGTCTATGTTTTTTGCAGCTTTGCCCTTCCTTTCGGCAAGTTTCAGCAATGACTCCTGTCATCATCAAAGTACTCAAAAGAGCAAAAAGTACCAACAATAATGTAAGTTTCATTTTTCAACTGATAACAATAAACATCACTTCCATGGTTTATATAGCGTAAAACTGAGTAACAATTAAAATGTTTACTAGAATAAGGAAAAGCCGTTTTCCTCATTTACAAAACAAATTATTTAATAAATATTAATTTAAAAAAAATAAAAGTGCAATGTGTCTCGATGCAATCTTTATAATAACGAACTCTAATATTTGACAACGAATAAATATTAACACTGTTAACCATTATCATATTCTACATATAAGCAGCTTTAATTATAGTCATAATATTTTAGCAAATATTGTTTCCAAAATGGAAAACATATTTTTTTTTACTTTGGAAATTGAAAAATTGATTTAGAATTATTATGTTTTTAACTTCTACTAAACTTTATGGATTTTCATTTATCATCAGGGCTTTTTATTCGGTTTTTCATGTTCAAGGGCTAAAAAGTTTTTTTCGAAAAGCAATTAACTCTTTTTTCAAATTTAACCCTTATTTTTCATTTTTAACTCCTTTCCCTCCCTTAACAAATTTTTGTGTTATTGTATTTAAAAGCTTAGACTTTTACAACGAAACAGTATAAATGTAAAAATAGGACAACATTAGTTTTGCGAGAAAATTTGCTTTTGATAGCTTAATTATCAATTACTTTAATTTCGTGAAATAAAAATGAGTGAATGTATTGAAATGAAAAAAAAAAAAAAAATTTAATGAATTTCCAAAAAATAATAATTCTTTTTATTTATTCAAGGAAGAATAATATTGAAATTGTGCAAGAAGTATGTGATGCTATAAAATGAAATTAAAAAACAAAACATTTGTGGATTATCGACGATACATTGATGAAAAATTTTTGGATTCTTATTCTAGGTTCAAATTTGGCAATACAGTCAGTTCGCCCGTTTTCGACCTTCATAAACGTTATCGTTTAAAGCGGACTAGTCGATAGACAATTGAAGGCGCTTGCACACCTCCGGCTGCCTGCACAGGCAGCCTCCCACCACGCAGAAAACGTACAAGAGTAAGAGAGACAGAAAATTCAAATTTAAATCTACTGACTCTCTGATTGGCTCACACTGGCTGCCTACACAGGCAGCCAGAGGTGTGAGTGTGCCCTTACGGAATAAAAGACAATCGGGCTTTAAAGCCCAAAGAACAGATTCTATAGCGGGAAATTCAAATTTAAAGAAAACAATAACATGTTTCAGAGCAAGAAGGACATATACCCGATCTAAGGGAGATCCCTTGCTCAAGGAAGCATACAAGGAGGCCAAAAAGAACCTCAGCAAAGAGATCCGCGCGTCGCGACGCCGTAGCTGGAAGGACCTAATCGAGGACGTCGAGAAGGACCCATGGGGTCTGGCTTTTAAAATCGTTACTAAGAAATTAGTAACGAGGCAAAAGACCCCCGGCCTGGACAATCCCGATTGGGTCAGAAAGGTAATAAAAGCCCTGTTTCCTCCTGCAGAGCCATGGCTTAGGAAGGACTGGAGTTCTTGCATAGTCACAGAGGAAGAACTCTTTACTCTTGAAGAATTGGAAGCAGCAGGTAGAAGATTGAAGACAGGCAAGGCGCCTGGAATCGATGGGATAAGCAACAAGATCCTAAAAGAGGTGATTGTTGCTTCCCCCCAGATTTTGCTGGACATCTTCAATCGCTGCCTAGAGAGAGGAGAGTTCTTTCCAGACTGGAAGAGGCAAAGGCTGGTCCTCCTAAGAAAGAGAGACAAACCTCTAGATAAGGTCTCATCCTACAGGCCTATATGCCTGTTGGATACGATGGGCAAACTTCTAGAGGACATGGTTCTGCAGAGAATGCAATCTCACTTGACCGGAGAGAATAGTCTATCCGATAACCAATTTGGATTCCGCAAAGGTCGGTCCACAGTTGATGCCATAAAGGCAGTTGTGGACCTCGCCAGAGAAGGGAAAAACAAATTGGGTCCAGATAAAAAGAAGAGCTTCTGCGCGTTGGTAGCAATCGACATACGGAACGCGTTCAATTCCGCGAGATGGGAAGATCGCATCGAGTCGATGATACAGAAGGGTATACCGCCCTACCTGTTGCGGATAATGGATAATTATCTAAGCGACAGGTGGGTTATTTACGAGGGAGACACCTGCATCCTCAAGGAAGAGATGCAGCGTGGGGCCCCTCAAGGCTCGAGGGTAGGACCATTTGTATGGAATGTATCTTACGATGACTTCCTGAGAATGGACCTGCCCGAAGGTGCGGTGATCGTCGGCTTTGCAGACGACGCGTTGATCGTGTGCACTGCCGACTCGGCGGAAGCTCTGGGGACATTGGTGAACGAATGTCTGCGGCTAGCAAAATGCTGGCTGGAAACCAGAGGTCTTCAAATGGCCCTGGAAAAGACCGAAGCATTGCTGGTCACAGACAGACGTGGTTATAAATCCCCACGAATCGTGATAGACGAATTCGAGGTCAAGTGGAGGTACCTTGGTGTGGAATTGGATGGAAGGTTAAACTTCCATCACCACATGGCTACGGCGTCAAACAAGACGATCGAATGTGCGGCTAATTTAGCACGGGTGATGCCAAATGTTGGAGGCCCCCGTGAGAAGAAAAGGAGACTGGTGGCGAGTGTCGCCCACGCTAAGCTGCTTTACGCAGCGCCAGCGTGGGCCCCCTCCCTGAGAACAAACAGATGTTCAACCATCTGTAAAAAGATGCTGTCCGCGCAGAGATGCATTACTTCACGTATTGCCTCTGCTTATCGGACAGTATCTACGAGCGCTGTGCAGGTCCTTGCAAGTGTCCCGCCAGCAGATCTTTTGGCGCTTGAGAGGGAGGAAATTATCCTCCTTCTCAAAGAGGCGAATTCATCTGAAGAGGAAGATCGACCCAGCAAGGACCGCGTCCGCTTCGAAGCGAGGCACAGGCTCGTCGAAAAATGGCAACAAAGATGGGACGGGGAGGTAAAAGGTCGATGGACTTATCGCCTTATACCGACACTCGCCACTTGGTTAAGTAGGAGCCATGGAGAAGTCTCCTACTATTTGACACAAGCGCTGACAGGTCACGGATGTTTCAATTCGTACCTGCAGCGTTTTAAGAAGAAAGAGAGTGAGGCGTGCGCTTACTGCCAGTTCCCTGTGGACAACGCAGAGCACACCCTCTTTGCCTGCAGTCAATGGGACTTGGAGAGGCAGGCCATGTTCACCGGTGTAAACACTACAGTTACACCGGAGAGCATGGTAGCGCTGATGATCCAGTCCCAGGAAAACTGGCGGCTCATCGAGACCTTTATCATCTCTGTTATGATGAGAAAGGATCTCGATGGCCGCAGATAGGCGAAATTGACAGTGTACAGTTTTTATTTATTTATTTGTTCATTTTATTATTTATTTTGTCCTTTTATTGTCTTTTTACAATTTTCTGTTTATTTATTTATTTTGTCTTTTATTGTCTTTTTACAATTTTCTGTTTATTTATTTATTTATTTTAGTCTTTTTACACTTTTATGTTATATTTTGTTTGTTCATCTGTCTTTTTACAATTTTATTTTTGACATTGTTTAATTTACTTTTTATTTTATTTCTTGACTTTTTATTGTTTTCTTTTCTGGTGTGCTGTTGATTCCGCTTGACATAGATTTTAGTTTTTCATTTTAAAATTGATAACGCAGGATGTCCGCAGGAATGGACGAAGTCGCTTTGCGACAGAGTTGGAGCGCCACCCTCGAAGGCAAAAGTCTTCACGACAGTACCGAGGGTGGATCAAAGGGCTCCCAAGAAAGGTTGACGGGTTTTAGTGGGTCGGGGCTGGTAGTAGTTCGCCAGCTTATTTTGTTTATTGTTCTCCTTTTTTTTACCAACCCCACATAACCTTGGCATGCGGAAGCCAAGGTATCTGTATACAGATTTTCCCAATAGTCCCTAAGCAAAAAAAAAAAAAAAAAGAAAACAATAAATAATTAAATTGATTATTAATTGATTATTTATTAATTAATTGATAATTAATTAATAATTAATTAATTTTCCAGTAAATACTATATTATTATTAAAAATAATATATTTAAATTAATTCTAGCTCAAAATAAAATTGTTGCGATGAGAAAATAATTTTTGTGGTAATTTTTTTCTTTAAAAAAAGTTTATTAACTAATAATTAAATTAATTAGTTAATTAATTTTTTTTACAGTGAAAATTAGCCAAAAAAATTATTTGTAGCCCAAAAAAAATTGTAGCCCGGAGGAAATGTTTTTTTTCAATTTTTCAAAGTAAAAAAAAAATTAATTAGGGGAATAGTGTCAGGGTTGGACACAGTTTTGGTTTTTTGTTTATAAATATTTTGTTTAGATAAATTCAGTCAATTGTGGTATATGGGTGGAAAGATCTACAAAAGAGGAACACTTTTGCTGTGGACCGTAAATTGATTGGTCCAAAATTAAAAAAGTTATAAACATTTAAAAAAAAATCTAGTCAGGGTTGGACTTTTCAGTCTGGATTGGACACTTTTTGAAAATCGAAACGCATTATTGGTAAAAACGTAAAATAACATTTGTAATGTTTTTTATTCTTATTTTTTCATTTTTGTCTTTACTTATTGTTTACAAATTCTAAAGGTTTATGGGTTTAAAATAGGAATGAACTCAAATTACAAAAAATAACGCTTTATTGTTCCAAATAACTCAATGAAATGATGAACAAAATTTATACAATTTAAGTATTATTTTTCTAATATCTTTGGCACAATTTTGCACTGAAATATCAATAAAATAAAATTTATTTATAAATTGTGTCAAATTGGTAATTTATATGGGTGTCCAACCCTAACTAGAAGCATCATTTTCGAATTGTGCTAACCATAACCAGACATGTGTCGCGATTCAATTTTTCACTTTTTTTCTTCTTAAATTATGTACCCCACAATACATTCAATAAGCTTACCTTGCCGAATTCTTGCTTTTTTTACACATTTTTTAGGTTTATTCACAAGTCAAACAAAACTTTTTTTGTCTCTTCGATTGCACCGAAGTCACAGGAGACGCTACTTTTGATTCTCCGAAAATGTAATGCCACAAAAAGTTAGGTTACACTACTAGAAGATTCGTCACGTACGCACACAGGTGGCGCAAGTGTTCTTATTTAAAAAAAGCCAAGTGTCCAACCCTGACAAGTGTCCAACCCTGACACTAT